CTAAACAATCATGTTTCCCTCGTCAGTCTTCTCTCATTTCCACATAATGACAAATTTGATATTTATACATATATTTATATATATATATAAATAAGTAAAAACTGAAATATCACATTGACATAAGTATTCAGACACTCTCTTGATCATCTCTGAGATGTGTCTCCACCTTGATTGGAGTCCACCTGTGGTAAACTCAGCTGATTGGACATGATGTGGGAAGACACACACCTTTCTATATAATGCGACGTCAACACAACCCCAAAGTTTTCGAGCACCTAAAACAGAGACTTTCAGAAACGCTGCTGGACCTGTTTTATTTTGAAAACTCTGGGGTTGTGTTTTATTTTGAAAACTCTGGGGTTGTGTTGTATCTGGAAGGACAGAAACATGGCCCTATGATGAGGTCACACCGGGGTCTCTCCTGATTGGCTCTCATCAGCCTGGACTACCAGCGGTGAATACAACATGATAATGAATGACACTGTTACTGACCTTGTTGTCTTTGCAGCTGTTGTTCACTTACATTCTGTTTAACTGTCTCTGCTGTTCCTCCTTCAGAGGAGACCATCTACTTCCTGTTTACACCGGCTCGCACATGCTCAGTGTAGGTGATTAATGTGTATGCATTTTCAGTTTAGACGGTGATAATTTTTGTTTTAAAATGAAACCATATTAAAAACCAAGACGTGAGGAGGAAGGAGTTGCCTTTGACCTCCATCGCTCTTACATGAAGAAGTCTGGACCAACCAGGACTCTTCGAGAGCTGGACCCGGACTAACTGAGACATCAGGGAGAAGAGAGGAGACCTGAGACCCTGTAGGTCACTGTGGCGAGATAACCCTGATGACATCACTCTGAAGTCACCAGGGTTATTTTAAGAGTCGCACTCGGCTCCATGAGTAAACCGAACCTCTGAACGTCTTCTTATTATGATAATATGTCTCATTAAATAGGAGGAGATTATAATAGAGTTCATGAAAAGACTCATTCAGGAGGAGGTTGTGGAGTCGCTCCTGTTGTTTGGGGTCAGAGGTCACAGTTGTGAGTCTGTTGACGTCACTCACAGTCGAATGAGCAGCAAAAGCCTGTTTTTTTTTCTTCTTCTTCTTCTGTGGGATCTGTGTTTCTGAGAGAGGAGGGGGTTCCCTGTTTTCACACAGCTTGCTCAGCAGTGGGAGCCTGGTGGTCTTGGGGGTGGGGGTGGGGTGTACATGTGCGGGGGATGGGGGCAGGGCGAAGGCAAACTTTCTGGACTCCTTTTTCTTTGTCCGACTCCAGATCCAGAGCTTCAGCAGAGACACAGAACAAACACTCCATCTGTTTCTCTGCTGCTGATTTCTCCATCTGACCTTCAGCGTCTTTTTATCTTTTATCCATGACTTTCTTTTCTCCTGATGAAGTGTGTGTGTGTGTGTGTGTGTGTGTGTGTGTGTGTGTGTGTGTGTGTGTGTGTGTGTGTGCGTGACTGCCGCCTTTCAGTCCAAGCAGCAGAAGGAATGTAAACATGTGGGAGATGAACAGCAGTGAACTGTGTTATCTCACCTGGTATCAGATCAGCATCAGCACTAACCGCAACATCCTGCTCACTCGGATGTTTCCAGGTCCTCAGTTTGCTGCTGACGTAGAGCTGAGCGAGGGGGGAGGGGGATACGATCCTGCTTCGGGGGGGGAGATTAACAATTTCTATTGATTTTTCTTTCTTTTTTTTTGTTGTTGAGCATAATCAAGAAAATACAGGTTGTTACACACATCTATGAAGTACGAGATGCTTCAAATAAGACGTCCAGCTTAATAATCAGTTGTAGCAAAGATGGAGCAGATTGAATTCTGCTGTCAGTGTTTCCTCACACCAGGTGGTTTCTGCAGGTAACAGGTACAGTCGCTTCTTGTTACCGACAAACACCGACGAGAGATCAGAGTCCCGTCTGTTAAATTCACTACGAGACGATCTGGATTCACGATGCTGCAGCTAAACGTGACCATTCAGTGCTCAGTGTGATTAATCAGACTGCATTTGTACTGATGCAAGAGTTTTGAGGCTGATATTCAAGACTTTAAAAACTGTGATTACAGCATGTTGACCCACAGTAGCAGTGCTGAAGGATGGAAGGTTTACAGTCTGTGTTCTCATAGTTTCACATTTGTTCTGCAGTTTGTTTCATTCATCAGATACTGATGTAGTCAATCTGCAATAAGCCAATGTTGGCTCATTTATTATTACGGCACAGCCAGATATACATATACTTTATATATATATATTACACTTAATAAGACGCTGTGTGTTCTGTACAATATTACAAATTTAAGTTGCATTTGTTTAATTTTTTATTCAGAAAGAATCTGTATCAGTTTCGTTAGTGACACGAGCTGAGAAACAGCGTCAGTCACAGTCTGTCGGTTCAGAGTTCAGCTGTGTTTTCACATGAAGACGTCTGTTTAATACTGAGTGTGTAGAGCGGCTCGCTCACCTTCTCCCTCTCTCTCTCCACAGTATCTGCCGTTTCAATGGCCTCTGCTCGACGTCCCTGGAAGATCAGGCATCAGAGACTCTGCTACTCCTACACACCTGGTAAGACCTAACACACACACACACACACACCTCCCCCAAATTTTCCCACAGTGTTACCAGCTGATTACCAGCTGATTAAAAATCACATTGTTGGACTTTAAGGGAGTCTAATTTCTCCGACCAGTTTCACAATGAAATAAAAAATATCTTTCCACTCGTCATGAAACGAGTCTCACGTTGTGTTTGAGCTGCTGCTTCACTTCAGTGACACAAGATCAAACTTTAGTCTCTGATTGTTTTATAACATTATAAACGGATTCACTCTGATAAATCAGTGATAGATTTGCAGATGCTCTGGACTCTCCCTTTCAGTCTCACTCAGTAGATTTAACTCAAACATCAGAGTCAGACCAGGACGACTGTTCATACAACAATGGGTCTAATGTGGACGAGCTACAGAAAACGACAACAGGGACTTTTAGTTCCTAGAAAAGTTCCTGAAAACGGTTCCTCTGGTTCCAACAAACCTTTTAGTGATGAGAGGTCAGAACCAGCCACTGCTCCGTCTCCAAGGGTCACACGCCGACACAGCTGGGAGGCTCTGAACTCACATCTGTTGGGTTTAAATGATCCTTTATTGTTCATTTTTGCAGCAGCAGCTTGAAAATGAGTCATATTTAAGGACATAGAGAAACCAGTTCAGATGCCTCTCCTTTGTAAGAAGATGCTCAGAACAGCAGCTTTCCAGTAAAACTCAGGTCCACCTTATCAGTGACATCATGTGATAGGACCAAACCTGCACGACCAAGTTTGAGTAATCTGATTATTTGTTCTGATGTTTGAAGCCTCAGTGAAACGTTGTGGGACAGATCGGGTTCAGAACCAGCTCATCTGTGATCAACCAGCAGCTAAAACCTGCAGCGGAAAGGTGGAAGTTTTTCTGAACGAATTTCTCCTTTATCTACTTTATGTGGACACTTTCCCCTGATGTACGTTTCCCACCTGAGTAACAGGTGTGTGGGAACTCTCTCCACCTTCTGCCCTGACCTTCAACATTAAAACAGTATAAATGTCACACGATGAGCTGAAGCCTGATTCTCCACCGGTAGAGAAGTGAACTGTTCACCTGTAGTCTGATAACTGATACAGACAGGTAGATTCACTGTGAATGGATCTGCTGATAAACTGACGCCTGGTTTCATCGTCGCCGTCAGCCATGTTGACACCTGTATGGTGGGCGTGGTCGAGTGGACGTAACGACACGTAGATCAGACGACCTAAACATTCACACACCTCACAGTTTATTTAAATTCACTTCTTTTATTATTTTTTCCTCACGTTGTATTTATTTAATATTGGATTCAAATTTTTATTTTATTGTTTTAAATTAATTTTATTACTTTTATTTTCTTTTACAAACACAGTGTCACTGTCAGGGAGGAGGGGCTTGTTGTTGTTGTTGTTGTTGTTGTTGTTGTTGTTGTTTAGACGTTCCCCTGCTGTCCTTTCTGTCTGACACTGATATAAATGTCAAAATCCAGTACATGATAAATAACTGCAGGACTTTTTGTCCCTTCTGGGTTTCCATCCGCTCCGACTGAAACAGGAAGTAAATTTCATTTCATGTGGTGTCGAAAAGTCGTGGCTTTAGTTGGTGAATCCTGACACCTGGTGGCCAGATGACAGCACTGCAGCTGAAGTAACCACCTGTTCTCTGTGTGTGTGTGTGTGTGTGTGTGTGTGTCCAGTCTAACAGTGTGCCCGTAGTGCAGCACCCCCACATGACCCACCTCCACCCGCTGCTGTCCTACAGCCCGGAGGCCTTCTCCCCTCAGAGGGCCTCACCTGGCTTCTCTCCTGACACAGGTAAGAGGACCAGTCTCACCTGTCGTCCAATCAAATCCTCACAACACTCATTACACCTGGGAACGCACGCACGCACACACACACACACACACACACAGATGATAATCATGTCTGAACCTCACCTGTGCTGTCTGTGGAGCAGGTATGTCGAGGACGCCTCACGCTGCCTGTTACCCCGTCTCTCCTGGAGGCATGGCTCAGATCCCACACCCTCTCGGATGGCTGTGAGTACAACACACACACACACACACACACACACACACACACCCACACACACACACACACACACACACACACACACCCACACACACACACACACACACACACACACACACCAGAACCAGTCAGGACGTGAGACTGAGTCTGTTTGTCTTCCTGTCTTTAGGCAGGGACAGTCCATGTATCCCATCGCAGGGGGGTTCTCACCTGCTGCTCTGTCCAGGTGAGTGTGTGTGTTGTTTTTTATTCCTCCACGCTGGCGACTGTCAGAGCCGCCATTTTGTTTTCAGGTTGTACGTCTCATTCTCCTGGACGCGATATCTCAGTAGAACTTTGGTGGAACTCTTTTAAATTTGGCACAAACATTCACCAGGACTCAAGAGTGAAGTGATCAGACTTTGGTGGTCATGGGTCAAAGGTTAAAGGTCAAGGTGACCTCACAAAACACAGTTTTGGTCTTCTGAACGTGAAATCTCGAGTCATAAACCTGCGATATTTCCTCTTTGATCTCATAGTTAATATTATTTTATTGTTACATTATTTCTTAATTTTATACTTTATTTAAATCACTTTGTAACTTCGTTAAGAAAAGTTCTGTTCAAATATGATTCACTGTTTTTATTCATCATGTTCTACAGGTTTGGAGAAAATGTATTTTACTGTGACGGGCATCTGATCGGCAGTATGAAATTAAACTGTGTGTGTGTGTGTGTGTGTGTGTGTGTGTGTGTGTGTGTGTGTTGGCAGTCTGGTATCGAGTGGTTTCTCTTCACGTTTGGTGCCGACCCCCCAGTCGTCCATCCCCCACCCGGCCATCGTCCCCACAGGAGTGAAGCAGGAGCCTGGGTGCAGCAGCCAGCCGGGGTAACGACATCAACACGACTTACAATGAGCCTCAAACACATCGGATCACATGACCTCTAACTGCACGTGTGTGTGTGTGTGTGTTCCCGCAGGAAGTCGATGGGCGACGCTCAGCAGGAGAAAGAAGACGAGAAGAAGCCTCACATTAAAAAACCACTGAACGCCTTCATGCTGTACATGAGGGAGGAGAGGCCCAAAGTGGTGGCTCAGTGCAAAGTGAAGGAGAGCGCCACCATCAACCAGATACTGGGACAGAGGGTGAGGGTGTTCCCCTGTGTGTGTGTGTGTGTGTGTGTGTGTGTGTGTGTGTGTGTGTGTGTGTGTGTGTGTGTGTGTGTGTGTGTGTGAGAGAGAGTGTGTGTGTGAAGCTAACTGACAGTGTGTGTTGTCTTGTGTCCACAGTGGCACTCTCTGTCCAAAGAGGAACAGGCCAAATATTATGAACTGGCTCGTAAAGAGAGACTCCTGCACTCCAAGCTGTACCCGGGCTGGTCGGCCAGAGACAACTATGTGAGTCCATCCTGCTCACACACACACACACACACACACACACACACACTACCCTCATCATTTACATCATGACGACGTGTGTGTGTGTGTGTGAAGAGAGAAGTATTGACGTGTTTGTGTTTGTTCAGGGTAAAAAGAAGAAGAGGAAGAGGACGAAGAGTGAAACTCAACTTGAAGGTGAGACGATGTTCAGAGTCTGTGACACGGTCCACTTCCTCCTGACACGCCTTGTAAAGGGTTTATAAATGCTTTATAACTAGTTTATTCATTAGCTTGTTATCACTTCCTGTTCAGCCTCATGTCTCATCAGCATCTGCAGCTGCTGCCTCATCATGTTTGTTCAGTTACTAATTAACCAGCAGCAGGTTTCAGGCAGATCACATGATCATCATCATCATCATCATCATCATCTTACTGTAAAGCGTAAAGTCCATCATCATGTATTAATGTGTGTGTGTGTGTGTGTGTGTGTGTGTGTGTGTGTGTTCAGCTCCTGCAGCAGAGGATTTCTCCCCGCAGCTGAAGAGACCTCGCGGGACGCCCGGCCCTGAGGAGACGCCCCACACACACACTCTGCTGACACAGCCCCACCCACAGACTGCACACACACACACACACCCCCGCCCTCACCTGACACAGCCACACACCATGTCCCACCTGACACACACGCACCTGTCCCAGGCGAGCCCCGCCTCCTCCCTGGACTCCCCGGCGACGCCCACCACGGCGCTGGCCTCGCCCGCCGCCCCGGCGCCGACGCACACCGAGCACACACACTCCTCCTACAGCGGACACACGTCGCCGTACGCCGAGCAGCTGCAGCCGCTGTCCCTCACCACCAAACCCCACCGGACCCCCCACCCCCTGAGCCGCAACACCGTCACCCCGGGACCCTCCACGCCGTCCTCCTCCTCCGACACCCCCACCTCCTCACCCCTCACCGCCTCCTCCAGGAGCTCGCCCCTCCCTCCCCCTCTGCTCTCTCAGCCTTTCCTCGTCCCGCCTCCTACCTCCGCTCACCAATCAACAGCGAGCTCTCACGGTGCCTTAACGCAGCCGCAGCCGTTCTCCCTCAGAAGAACCAATCAGCTGTGAGCAGCTGCGTGAATCAGCCAATCAAACACAAACACACTCTCCAGTGATCTGTACCTCTTTTTTAAAGCTGTAAATTCGCCTCGTTTTTTAAACTTTTTTATAGATGTATCACATTTTATATTAGTATGAAAATTGGTCAATATTTGACTGTATCTCTTCATCAAACGCTGTTTATTTTTTTGTCACTTTTTCTAATAACTTTTTATGAACGATCAACTTGTTGTAATTGAAGCGAGGTGTGGCACAGGGGTCTGTTTGTTTCACCATGCTTTTCTCACTTGGTAGTAATGAGTGTCTGTTTCCTGGTTCCTCCTCTGTGTTAATAAATATTCACTGAGTTCTGACGAGCGTCTCTGCTGCTGGAAACCTGAAGGTCGTCGTCGGAGAAACGACGTCTGTGACGCGGGAAGTGACGAGGTCGTTTAAAGCTCTCAACACACAGACGTGACACCACATCATTCAGTGTGACCTGCTCTCGTCTCTGACGACCTTCCTGAACAAACCTGCGTCAGTTCACTGAGAGTAGAAAAAACTTTATTGAAATTTGTCTTTGGCCACGAGGCAGCGCAGTCCACACACAAATATAAGATACACACAGATGCACTTTTAGCAGCAATGCATATGGACTGCGTGCGTGTGTGTGTGCGTGTGCGTGGGTGTGTGTGTGTGTGGGTGTGATTTTGGTACCATTTTTCCAGGCAAGTGGGACCTGGAGTCTCTACCAGATGTCAACAGCTGGAATGATGAGTGAACGGGGGGGGGGGTCATTAGATACCTGGGTTGCCGGTTGTTCAGGTGTTGAAGTTTCCCTCAGCGATCCAGGGACAGGAAGTGATCACAGCTGATTCAGCTGCTTTTAACGGGAAGAATTTGACTCAGTGTGAACAACATTCTTCGGTCTTCACTGGGCCCACGCTCTGAAACACACCTGACACATTGAATGACCACATGAGGCCGGACAGGTGAGTTTCTGTTGGAGAAGTTTACAGCGTCACAGGAAGAAGAACAAAGATCAGAGTGAAACTAAAACAATAAGAAGTTCAAATAAACATGAAAATAAGAACATAAAACCCCTCCATGATGTGTCCTGCTTCTGCTTTACATGTTCCTATCGCAGCGTTTCTCTCTGCATGTCACATAAATACCTGGTAATATGGTTTAAAGGTCTGTTTTATACTAACCTTTATATTCTCTTATTATTGATCTGCAGCCTTATAAATGATCTCAGTAACTTGTCATTCTAATATTAAATAGTGTCGTTCTTAGGATGACACCTGTATTAATGTGCACTGTCCCTATTAATTAAACCAATAAATGAGATTTAAACTGATCAATAAATAAAGTTAGAAATAAATTATAATTGAAATAGAGAAGTAAAAAGGAAGGTCAATAATAAAAGCCCAACCCTCGGCCTCTGCCTGGACCAGGTCTTCCTTCTGTGCAGAGCAACGTATTCCTGTTAGCTTTTACTTTTATTGTAACTCCCTCCCGCTCATGAACAAGCGTCGACTCACCTGTCAAATACCTGAGAAAAAACACACGAGTTTCCCAGCACAGGAAGGAAAAACACCAAATGATGTAATTCTGTACGACAGACACGTGACCCGGCGTCCCTTTAACAGCCTGAGAGGAAACTCCATATATGGTGAGACAGGTGTGAGTGGAAGGTGTGGCCGTAACTTTACAGCTGTGCAGGGACAGGTTAGAGGTGGACGCGGAGCAGAGACAGACAGAAGAGCAATGCTGCAGTGGAGAGGACGGATGGATCACAGAGGGGAGTGTAACAGAGCGCTGGTGGTGTCTGTCGCAGAGTTTGACCCCGGGGTGCAGCTGGGGAGGAGGCCGGGCGCCGGGAAGGACGCCAAGAGACTCCACCGCACCCTCAGCAAACTGGGCTTCAAGGTGGACATCCACACTGACCTGAGGAGCGAGGAGATCTACCAGCTGTTTCAGAGAGGTAACACACTGCAACACACTGCAACACACACACACTGAAACACAACACAACACACACACACACTGCAACACAGTAGAAACCACAGAGACTGATCCAGGACTGTGCAGAGAACGTGTCTCTGTGTTTTTCTTTGTGACCTGCTGGAGCTCCACGTCACTAATCACTGAGTTAAAACCTCTGTGAGATCTGGACGAAGCGCTGATATAAAACTCCTGTTTTATTTAGCGTCGTCAAGGTAACTGAGTGAATGTTCTTCTTCAATGAGGAAAAAGCTGGACAGCAGGTATTATTATCATTATTATTATTATCATTATTATTATTATCATTATTATTGTAGATAGAGCGTCTGGTGATGTGATGTTCCACCATGAACCTCCAGAACATCTTGAATGCTCCTCGTCATAGATTCTTCAGCTTCCCTTATTTGGTGTTTTGTTGATGTTGGTGGAGAACGTTCTCTAACACGTCATCACAAAATCTCCCAGAGGTGTTTCACCACCTAAAGGACCCTAAAATCTCCTGAAGGACTTCTGGGATCTCTCAGGGGACCACGAAACCTCCAGACTCCTCAAACCTTATAAAGAACCTCTACAATCTTCTCATTGATCGCTAAGACAAACAAAATATATCTAGAACCTTCTCAGTGACCATTAGAACCCCCAGAAGGACAAGTAGAACCTTCTTGATAACAACTAAAACACCTAAACTACTCTTTAAACCTCTTCAGTAACTACTAGAACCTCCTCAGTGATCTCTAAAAGTTCCTAAAGGAGCTGTACAACCTCTTCAAGGACCACTAAAGCTTCCAAAACACCGTTAGAAACTCCTAGAGAACCTGTAGAACCTCCTCAGTGTCCACTACAAACCCTCTAACATCCCCCTGAACCTTCTAAAGGACCTCTAGAACTACTGACAACTGAAACCTCCTTCTCAATGCCCCCTAGAACCTCCTCACTGACCACTACAAACTCTTGAAGAACCTCCATAACCTCCTAAATGACCTTTTGTAATGACTTAAACCACTTAAACCTTCTTAACAACCTGAAGATCACCTAGAACCTTCTAATTAACCATTAAAACATCCTAAACGATCTCGAGAACCTCCTCGATAACCACTAGAACCTAGTAAAGGACCTCTAGAACCTTGCTCAGGCTCTGTACATAATGTCCTGATGTGATATGATGTCATAAGTCACATGTGACCGAGCTGTTGTCAGAGCGACGCAGACTCTGACTTCTTGTTATTGTGTCTCTGGCGTTCCGTCTTCGTCTTTACATAAGACACATCAGAGTTCTCCGCGCTGTCACCAAGATCCCTGACACCATCGATCCTCTGAGTCGTTTACTGGCAGGTGATTAAAGGTAAATAAGTCAGTGGTCACATGGTCAGGATCTCATCATCAGTCACCAGGATGTGAAGAGCGCTTGTGTAATCACCGTGAGCCAGATATCAAACAAACTGAAAGGTCAGCTGGAGTTTTACAGCTGCTTATCACTGATAGATAAAACAGTCACATATGATCATCAACGTTCTGACGGAGGCTTGTCGTTCATCTGGGAAACTGCTCACGCGAAGTCACATCTAATGTTTCTAATGTTCGCTGCAGCGAGTCGACGTCACCTGACAGAGAAGCTGCAGGTGTGTTGACGCCCTCATGAGTAAACAGGCTGGAGGCTGAGTGAAGAGAAGAACACGCATTCCTCGTTACTGCACCATGCCATTACATGTTCCCCCGTCTGTCTGCATCATGACTAATAAACACTGAGAGAAGTGTGTCATTTACTGAGGAAGTGTGTGTGTGTGTGTGTGTGTGTGTGTGTGTGTTCTGCAGAGAGCAGGCGTCCTGTGAAGGATTGTTTTCTGGCCGTGCTGTCGTCTCACGGGGAGGAGGGCTGCGTGTTCGGCGCTGACGGGGAACCTGTCCGACTGTCTCGTCTCTTCGCGTTCTTCGACAACAGGTGTATGGAGGAAAAGGCCAAACTGTTCCTCGTACAGGTGGGAAGACGTCACCGACACAAACACAATGAGATCGAAGTTCAGTAAATTCATATACTTCTTAATATCTGTACATACACCTGTATCACCTCGGTGAGAAAGTTCACAAAGACTCGTGTCTTCATCTGGACCTGTCTCACTTCCTGTTGTCTCTGCAGGCCTGTCGGGGACACGGTCTGGACGATGGCGTGGAGGTGGATTCTGTCGAGGACGCCCCAGAGAGCAGCTTCTTCTCACAGCATCCCGCCGTCCCTGTAGATACAGCTGTGATGTACGCCACAGCGCCAGGTACACACCTCCAGCTGTTCCCTCCAGCTGTTCCCTCCAGCTGTTCCCTCCACCTGTCTGCACCTCTGTCCACACACCAGTCGGACAGCGGTGGAAAGATAACACAGCGTAGGACTCTGGTTTGAATGTTGTTAGAATCTGTCGACTCCCATCTTTCACTTACATATTCTATGTGACTCACAGCCTCTAAAATCTGGTGAAAGTAAAGTGACAGACGCTACGACTCAGTCATATTACAAGATTTCATGTTAGGCATTTATTATTCATTTATCTACTATTTCACTCACATGTTGTTTTTATGAACCTACAGACTTTGGTGAAAAGATTTCATCCACGTCAGTAAATGTTTGTTGAAGAATGATCTCTTTGCTCTACGACCAAAAAGAGAAATAGAAAGAGCTGAGATTGTTCTGAGGATTGTGATGTAAAACACAGGGGTATTATCTTCTATGCAAGTTCCCTTTAAAAGGTGAATTTAAGAAATAATGTAGAAATCCAGAAAATGCCCTTTGACCTCAGAGGGTTAAATTCAGAGGAACGTGTCCTTTACTTCAGTTCAGAGGAAAACGTTGCTCAGTAACTTTCACATGATCCAACATTTCACAAGAAACACAAACGATTAGTGAGAAAGAAACTTTGTCTTGTCAGAGTTTGTTGTTGCTGCTGTGAACAGAAGAAAACAGCAGCAGACATCTTTAACTCTCGATCAGGTGTCAACTAATTGAACTCAGTGAACTTCATGTTTCAACTGATCGTTAATCATTGATCAAAGACAAGGAGGACAGGTACAAGATGAACGTACAATAATACAGACGGTGAACTCTGATTACCTGAATCAGTAATATCCCATGTCACCAATTAATTATTGAATAATGCTAGGTAAATAATTAACACATAAAATACCCACGAGGTCGTATTAGAAGAAGTGTGAAGCTGCAACCAGCAATTATTTTCATCATCAATCATTTTCTTTTAATAATCCCCTTTATAAGGGTTTTGAGTTTCAGGACAGTCGACTACAACTGTTCTTTTTTTGTTTCAGTTATTTGGATTGGTTTCTCTTTGGTATGTTAGATATAAGATATTTACTCATTTATCTTTTGTATTTTGTTTAATTTTCTTCTTCTTCTTGATGGATGCCTGTTATTTCATTTACTTCACTGGTCCTAAGTTGTTTCTGTATCATCTATTTTGACTTTTGATTCAACTGAGTCTCATGGAAAAAACTTTGAATAGATCCCGAAGGAATACAATAAATCATCTGATTGTTTAGTGAATAAAATGTCTTGACTTCTGTGTTATTACCCCCCCCCCCAGGTTACGGAGCTTTCATGCACCCACTGGGATCAGTCTTCCTCCAGACCTTCTGCTCTTTATTAGAGAAAGAAGGAAACCGCAACCTGGAGCTGACTCGCCTCATGACCCGCCTGTCCCACAGCGTGGCCTACACCTTCCAGGCCAAAGGTCAAGCTCTGGGTGGGAAGAAGGAAATGCCGTGCCTGCTGACACGCCTGACCAGGGAGGTGTTCCCGTTCGCAGAGCCGGGGAAAGACGGCGGGTCCGCGGGGCTTTCAGCCACGTCACTGGTTGGCTCCAAAAACACCAGAACACGAACTCCTTCCATCAGTTAGAGCGCAGAACCAGACTGTAGGTGACCTCATCCGAGAGTATGACACAAGAATTATCACCAGGAATGGAAATGATCACAAAAACCTTCCTGGTTTTTTCCACACGCTGACTTCCTGCAGAAAATCCAAAGAAGAAATCCAAGAAATGTTTTCTTATATTGTACATACCTGTAGTATAGATTTTCATATATGTAAATGTAGCATTTTATTGATTTTACTGATGTATTTTAATAAATAATAATTTAATACAGAGAATAATTCTCTAACTTGGTCTTTTTATTGCAGTGACACAACTCGCTTCAGCATGAAGTCACTCACTTTTGTTTGAATGGAAAAATACCTGCATCACAACAAGTCTTTAACCTGCAGAGCTGCTTTCCCCTGTTTCATTTCAATCCCTCTGAGTTTCAGACTGAGTCGCTCCAAAAGGCTAAAACCAAAACACTAGAGCAAATAGTAAAGAACTTATTCTACTGTTTGATAATTCAAACACTAATGATGCATCATATTTTATAAAAAGTTGATCATATTTGTAGGTAAAAGATTCATGCTGCAGTCAATCAGGTGTTTTTATTCATGTTGCCCAATCAGTCTGTTGTCAGGACAGTGTGGGCGTGTCCTACTGTGACTAATTCTTATTGTTCTTATTAGTTCACTGAGTTTGGTGAAATTACATCATTCCCAGCAGAGCTCCTCCCAGTCTGCACCTGACCAGCCAGGTGAATTGGAAACAGCTGTGTGGGTGGGTGTCTCGTACAGGGATGAGTATTGGGCAACACTCAGGAAGGATACAGTCGTTTAACCTGGACAAAAATGAAAGTATCACGGAGGTCACACCTTTTACATAAAACAGAACTGATACCGAGCCAAGGTAGACGCAGGCTTTTCCAGAACAAACACATGACTTCCCCATAAAACATGTTCTCACACATTCAGCTGCTGCAGAACTGGATCAAAACGCACTGGAACATTTTGGCAATGATTATCAATAAGTTAGTATTTCAGTCTGATAGTGCGTTACGTTTCTGGCTCTGCGTTATTTAACATCATGCTAGCCTTGTATTCCACTTGTTAGCAGCTAATGCTACTTTCATTTTAACTTACCATAACATTATGAGGACCGAGGTTAACAACAAGTAATTCCAAATGTAGGTGTAAATCAACCTTTGTAAACCCGTCATTGTGCATGTACAGAAGACATTTTGTATTTGTAAAAAGAGACTGATAATTTCAGTATCATTATTTTCATTATCATCATTATTTGACAAATTTGACAAAAAAAAATTTGACACTGTGCTTCTTCAGTTGTGTTGAGTGATTGAATGTTATAGTGATTAAAATGAAACGCTCTATACTTATGCAAATATACACAAAGACAAACACATTCCACATTTATTTCCATGTTTTTCCATATCTATATTTCTTGTTTCTATTAAAATCATTGTGAAATTTAATGTAAAAATAAATGAATAAATTAAAAAATACATATTTATATTATTTATAAGTATATATAAATAATTAAATAAATACATTATTTCTTTCTTTCTTTCTTTCTGATGCATTATGCTCCACAGCCACCAGATGTCGCTGATGTGACGTCATGTGTCAGGTTGCGTGGGTGTCGCTACGTCATCCTCATGCGACTGCAGCTGTTTCTGAGAGGAAAGTCAGAAGAATTAATAAACAATGTGGGAACAGATTCGCTGAGACAGTTCGTAGTACTTTAAAGTATCGGGGACAGTTTCCCGCCTTCACCCGGAGTGTGTAAACTGTGGCACCGGAGCCGGTTGTACAGTAAACCGGTGAACGCCGGTAAACGGGGTTCGTGGCTGCACGTGGTAACGTTCGGGGGTTTTCTGTTTTTAAATAGTTTTAAACGGACAAAGACAAACGAGCTCCGATTGACTGACACGTTGAAAATGTCCCGACACGGTAAGAAGAACGGGATACCGGACAGGTGAGTGCCGGAAACACCGTGTAAATGTCGGGAGTAACAGAGACGTGTTGGTTTGACTGAAACGGGTCAATCTGCCTGTTTATACACGATATATTTAAATCCAGCCGCAGTCATCTGTGGTGTCAGTGAAGTGTTCACCTCACCTGCTGCAGGATTGTTGTTTACACAGGTAAACAGAGGCTATACATGTCATGTGTTCACACACTGGAAGTAAACGTCAACATAAACAAACAGCAACATACAGCTTCTTTACACGAGTGAAGCTGTGTGTAAATGTAAACAAGACAATAATGTAAAGTAACTGTAGAGAGAGTCAGTGAAGCTTGTGTTGCTGCAGCTACTGATTGTTTGTTCTCAGTTTCTTCGGTTTTTAATCTGTAAAATGTCAGAAAAGTAAAAATAAATGTTTGTCACAGTTTCCCAGAGTGGAAGGTGATGTGTTCAGGTGTCTCTTTGTTTTGTTTCTTTTCCAGAAACTCAAAGTTCACAACACAAACTTAACATTATAACCTTCATGAGGGAGGATTTATTATTATTATTTATTACATGAGACTGACTTAGTGTTTGGTTTAATGTTTAAATCTCAGTAACTTCCTCAAACAGCTGATTGCTGTAGTTTTTATCAAACGGGGAAGTTGTGACTTTGTCGGGGACTATTTTCGGCGGTGGATGAATCCACATTTGGTGCCGTAGAGAGTATTTCACTGCAGCAGGACGGCGTGATTCAAAATAAACTACAGTGTGTGTGTTCGAGGTGATGAAGGAACATGTCACTCAGTGTGTGTGTTAATAGTGTCTGTAAACGGTGGAGGTCTGTGGCTCAGAGCATCAGATACATCAGACTCTGATTCACACACATGATTAAATCTACAGTTACTATATAAAGTCATCTCCTGATATTAAAATTAACGTCAGTAATGTGTCAGTAACAGCTGTACGTGACTGTGACACTGAAGCTTTTCTCTCCAATAGATGGCTGGATTACAAAGCTGTTGGGAAGAGACTTGACGGGACACGATTCATCGCCTTCAAAGTTCCTCTCAACCAGGTCAGGAGCTGCTCGTCCACTTTGTTCCTCCGCTGCGAGCGGAGATCAACAGTGTGACCGTGACTTCTCATGAAACTCTGTGTGTTCTCTTCAGTATCTGAGCCGTCAGCTCCCGTGTTCGGACGTGTTCGGCCCCTGGGAGCTGCTGGACGCTCTGAGCAAAGAAAAACAAGAGCTGGGTTTGATCATTGACCTGACGTTCACCACACGCTACTACAAGCTGCAGGTGAACAAACGGACACAACCACTCGAGGCTGATCGTCATTTTAAAGGAGATCTCAGGTGAGATAATCACTGTGTTATTTTGTGTAGGACCTGCCGGAGTCATTGATGTTCATGAAGATCTTCACGGCCGGTCACGAGGTTCCCAGTGACAACACCATCCTGAGCTTCAAACGAGCCGTACGCAGGTTCCTGCGAGACAACGCAGACAATGGTGAGAACACACTGCTGCTACCACAGCTGTCTATTCACTCTTTGAAATGTCAGGAACTCTTATTTTACACTCCCACTGCAGAGCAGGAGGAGGGACAAACAACCAGGTACCTGAGACGAACTCACCTGGTCTAATGTCTCCACCCTGCAGCAGCATTGTTATCACACTGACTTATCTGGCGTCTCCCTCACAGACAAGCTGATCGGCGTCCACTGCACCCACGGCCTGAACCGCACCGGGTACCTGATCTGCAGGTGTGTACAGTCTGAAGTGCGCAGGGTGAGTGCGACCAGGAGGCGTGGCCAGTGTTTAACAGCTGTTTGTGACCCGCAGGTATCTGATAGACGTTGATGGGATGGATCCTAAAGAGGCTGTGGAGCGTGAGTGCTGATGTCACCGTCTCTCACAGTTTGTAGTCCACGTTTGTGACAGGAAGTAAAACGCGTCAAACGTTCTCTGTCCTCAGTGTTCAACTCGTCTCGGGGTCACGACATGGAGAGACAGAACTACCTGGACGACCTGCAGTGTGGACCAAAGAGGAGGTGATGCAGACATAGACTTGTTTACTGTAAATACTCACAGCTTTGTTTTATTTACATCAACGTTTTTTAAAGAAAAGGTCACAGGAGTCGAGTGTAAGACAAAAAGAATAAGCACAAATGAAGGAGCCAGTCCACAACACAAAGAAAAGAAAAACCTTTTTCATTCACACGACTAAAAATACACATTTCCATGTGTTAGTTGAGACAGTATGGAAGAGTTAAAGTGCTGAAATCAAAAGGCATTAAAGAGAGAAACGCATCATTTCATGGATTTGATGTGTTTATAATGTATCAGCAGGTGTGTGCTGCCCTCTGCTGGACGACACTGAAATACAACCTCTTCACTTGATTTCATTTAATGTGGCTTTTACAATGAAAAACAATTAATTCAAAGGTGAAAAATGTTCCTTTTATCATGTTTTTAATTTGTTTCTGACACAGTAAATATATATATATATATAAAGATAATATACAACGTGTATTTCAGTTTAATTAGTTTTTATTTTGGCATTTTTAATATTCTATATTTAAGTACCCACTTCCTGTCTGCTCACATGATAATATCATCATCATGTCGACGAGATTCTTCTGCTTCTTTTATATATTATCACATTTTTCCAAGATCTCCCAGATGACTGGTTGTCATAGCAACTTCCAATTAAAATAAGTCTGTAAATTTGCATCCAGATGTTCCACAGTTTCTAGTTTTGTAAAATATTTCCAGAACATGTTTCTCACACTCACGTCACCGTCGTCATACAGATCCACACACGTGTTTTATATCGATCTGTCTTTGTTTTACACTGTGAACAACATGTCCATCCATCCATCCATTCATCCATTCATTCACTCACTCATTCACTCACTCACTCACTCTCTGTCTCACATGATGCTGCAGTTTGTTGTGACTGCAGGATGTTGACTGACTGTGTTTCTAACAGTAACGAGGGGATGGAGGAGTCGGAGGAGGAGCCGAGGAGAGGTCACGCTGAACGTCGGCCATGTTACACCTCAGTGGACTGGGACAGCAGAGAGGAGAGACGACCTCACTTCAGTGACTCCTGGTACCACAGGTAGGGGGGAGGAGCCTCTCTGACGTCATCTGCTTTTCCAGTTAGATTTAGTTTGTTTGTCGACGTGTGTTTTTTAAAACCTTTTGAACTAATAAAGTTTTGTTGTGAAAATATTGATGAACCTTCACATCTGGATTCTCAACTTTTCCCGCCTTCCTCCTGCAGATCTTCCATCCCTCCAAGAGGAATCAACCCCCGCTCACATCATCGCCCCCCACACGACGGCCTTCTCCCCGAGCCGCAGTTCCTCCCTCCGCCTCCTTTCCATCCACCGATGGGAGCCCCCCCTTTCCACCCGTACCGATGGACACCCCCTCATCCCGACAGTCAGTGGAGGAGACCCCCCCGCTCAGAGGAGAGCAGGTCCAGATACGACCCCCATGAGTCCAGGTGGAGTCCGGCCCCCGGCCCTCAGGAGGACAGAAGGAGAGGTCCCCCTCCCCTCCCCCGCTACTCCTCACGCTGGACCAACGAGTCCTACGACAGACCTGAGGAGGAGTGGGGGGGTCCCAGAGTCAGACACCGTCACTACAGACACACAAACGGGTTCGACCACTACTAGTCTGATCCACCTGAACTGACTCTGTTTACAGCTGCTTCTCTCCTCAACATCTGTTTCAACATCTGTTTCAACCTCCAGGTCACTCACAGATGTTTCCTGCTGAGAGGACAGAGGCCCGCTCACACCTGTTCACACCTGCTCACACCTGTTCACACCTGTTCACACCTGCTCACTCCCTCTCACACCCGCTCACACCCGCTCACACCTGTTCACACCCGCTCACACCTGTTTACACCTGCTCACACCTGCATTAACATGTTCTTCAGGAGGGGATCCCGCGTCAACGTTTGTTTTGGCGGCCTGTCGGTGGGAGGCGGAGCTACACTACGCCGCACACAGAGCTTCTCTCAGCCGCAGACACCAGAGTAGGAAACACAGCTGATCAGTTTGCAGGTGATCGGTGACTACAAGCATTTATTCCAATCTACCCATCATGTATATTTAATGAAAATCAGCTGATAATGATCGGCGGCCAATCAATCGAGGCGTCCCTAGAGTAGGCGGTCCTTCACAATGTGGCCTCATGTGGTCCAGACCTCTGAATGTGGTCTGAGTGATCGGATCTCTAATGTGTCCTCACTGCGTCTCTTAGAGCTGACCACTGGTGATCGGATCACCTGAGACAGATGTTAATACGAGGTGTGGACAGGTGTGGACAGGTGTGGACAGGTGTGGACAGGTGTGGACAGGTGTGGACAGGTGTGGACAGGTCTAAACTCTGTCCTGAAACAAATCTCTCATGTTCACACTGAAGGAGTTTCTGTTGTAATTCTTCCTCCTGTGAAGAGAAGTGATGGAGGACAGAATCCACAGTCCTGCTTCAGTGTGAAGGTGTCGGGGTCTCCTGATCTTGTTCTCTTTAGGTGCACAGGTGCACAGGTGGGAGGGGTCAGTTTTATTGAGTGACTTGTTCGTATTTTGGTGGAAAATGTGGTTCAGATTTTTACACTGAACCTCGTCTGTTTTCTGTCACTTCACTGCTGTTCTGGTGATTTTATCAATAAGAGCTAAAGAACAAAATTCTTGAATAATGACGCCTCAGTGTTGAAAATGAAAATAATTTATTACTCTCAAACCAGCAGATGCTTTTAAATTGGAATTAGAAAATAATGTTTAAGGTGGAAGTGAAGCAGCAGGACACCTGTTGATGAATCTGCAGCCTCTGATTTGGTGCCTTCACTGACCTCAGGTCAGTCAAACGTTGATCAGTCAGTCGAGGAGAATAAATGTCGACGTGTTTGATGAAGGTTTTATTTTTGTTTTTTAATTTATGTGTAAATTTTAGTTTTACACTTTTTTTTCCAGTGTTTACTTTTCACCTGCCATTAAGGCCGAAACGCACAATTACCTTCATTATCGATTATTTTATTATTTTATTATTACAAATGGTAGAAAACATTAAACATGAGCAGCACAGTTCACCAGAGCCCAAAGTAACGTCTTCATGTCTCTGTTTGTCAGTTTCTCTTATAAAGTCTCAGCAAATATTCACATCAGGAAGCTGAACATCGTGTGGAATTTTCTCTTTTAGATGAACCTTTAACTGATCAACTAATCGATTAGTCGACCAGTCGTTTCAGCTCTACAGACAAACCAGCCAGAGCTGAAACGATCAGTCGATTAATCGTTAGTCAATCGGTAGAAAACTGAATTGAGTGTATTGATGATCAGTTGTTGTCAGGTGACGTCTCTTCACTGAAGACCTCTGTCAGAGAGGAATAAAAAAATGTCTGTGAAATAAAAACTTTGTTAAGAATTTTGAAAAATGAAATTTTAAAATAAAATTTTACCTAACAAAAATATTATTGTAATATTGTTATTGTTATTATTGTTATTGATATTATATAAATTAATGATGGAATAACATTTGATAATAATGGGTTGAGTTTGTTTCACATATTTTTCACTATTTATTATTTATCTCAATATCTTTAATTATTTAATATGAAACAATTTGCGCAGTTTGGTCAATAATCTTTTTTTTACATATATATATTTAAAATAATTTTATTTAGTCCAAATATCCATTTCATAATTTTTTAAAAAGTTAAGTACACGTTAACAAAAAAAACAAACAAAAATCATACTGAACACTGAACACAGACAGAAATGAAAAGGTAGATAAATTATATTGATAACAAAATTAACCAATAAATAAAGAAATCTAGATAATAAAGAAATAAACATCACATGTTTGAATTGGTCCCGAAGTATACTGAAAGTCCACAACTATTTATTTATTTTATATATTGATAGTTTAATATTTTTTATTAATTCAATTAAATTACTACATTCAGTAATGAATGGTTCAACATTCTGGTGAGTTTTAGAAAATGTGGACTTATGAATATGAAATTCACCTAATTAAATTCATAGCTTCTCAGTCCATGGCTGGCTTTTATTTTCATAATATAAAATCAAATTTAATATGGAAAAATATTCCTGTAAGTTTTACTCTTGTAAAGTGACAGTAAATAAATAAATGTTTAATTGTGTATTCTTGATGTACAGATCTTGATATCATTAATATATATATTATGAATAATTTTGTATCGTCCGTCTCAGTTCGTTGAGGAGTGTAAGAATTTGTTTACAGAGAAATGAGAGTGGATGAATCCTTTTTTACATTTATTTTCATAATTTCTTTCTTTATTTACTTATTTATTTTTTGAGTGTGGATGAATCCTTTTTTATTTATTTTTTGAAATGTATTATTATTATAAAAATAATTAACAATAACAATTATTATTATTTATAATTTTTTATTTTTTTGAGTGTGGAGGAATCCGTGTGTTTCTCAGCCTCCCTCATGCTCATGATGCAACTGGTGTGGTTCCCGCGCATGCGCCGAGGCTGTCACGACTCGGACGCCGCTGCGGCTGCTGCAGGTGGAAACATGGCGATGAAGGCGCTCAGAGGGATGGTGAACGGGGCCATGAGCGAGCTCTCCTCGGCCGTCAGCGGGAACAGACCGACGGCCGCCGCCCCGGCCTCCACCGCCGCCTCGCGGGAGCATGTGATGGCCGTGAGCCGGGACTATATCTCCCAACCCCGCCTCAGTGAGTCCCTCTATGTCTGAGTAACACCATCAGCTCAGGTAGGAGCCACACGGCAGAACAAACATGAACCGGGAGATTTCTCAGGAGGGGGGTCAGTGTTAAAGAAATGAAACCGTGAGGGTTACAGATTAATGACATCATCACCCGTCACACCTGGTGAACACGCGATTTCATTCATGTCTCTGACTCTTCAGGTTCAACTGAAACAATTAATCATCAGGGATCCAAAAACACTGGTGGGAAGTAACTAAGTACATTTACTCAACTACTTTGAATAACTGCAGTCTTGAGGTACTATTACTTTACATGAGTATTTGTATTCTCTGCTGCTTTTTACACTGAATATTGTACTTTTAACCTCATTACATTCAGTTACTTTTCAGTTTAAAGCTCCATATTTTCTTCTTCTGTGTTTTATTTGAAGTGTTGATCCATCAGAAGATATAAAAACCATCTCAGTGTAGTTTTACATCTTCTCTCTCTCTCTGCAGCTCTAGTAACAACAGGTCGGTGAGCCAATTAGAAGAGAGGAGGCTCTGAATCTTTATGGGACCTTTAAGATTTTACATGAAACACATGATAAGATGTAAAACACGACAGCAGATTAAAACAAGAGGTTCTCCTCCTCTTTAGCTTTCATTAAGGTAAAACTGCAATATCTGAAAAATTACCCTTTTAATCACTAAACAAGTGATTTTACACTATGATTATGTTAACTACTTTTAAGTACTTTTAGCTGATAATACTTCTGTACTTTTACTTCAGTAGGAATTTAAATGCAGTTTTTTTACATTGTTGTATTAATGTACTTTTACTTCTTCCACCACTGGGTAAAACAAGACATTTAAAGCTCAATATAGGTCCATATAAAGGTAGATGTCCATGTGTGTGATTATAAAGCAGGTCTAGATTCTATATTAATATAGTTCTATAATAACATATATATTTTATAAATATATATGTTTCTATATTAGTATATACTATCCACAGAGAAATGCACACAGCCTGTATTCAGAAACTGAGCCTTAAAACCAGCCGTCAGGACTTCTGGAACTTTGTGATGTCACAACAAAGCAGTCACCAAGCCCCGCCCACCTGGACCCACCATCCAAACCTTGCAGGATTTGGTTTCTCTGAGTGTTTTTACCTGAAATCTGCTTTATTTTTATTGGATCAGTCAGAAAACAGTCAGCCAATCAGAAGAGAGGCTCAGAGCCAAGAGGTAACCAGTGATGTCATGAAGTGAAATGATTATTGATGAATGATTTTCTCCCTCCATGATAGTTATAATGTTGTTTCTCTTCTCAGTGATATAAATGAGGTGGACAGAATAATAGAAAGACCTGTGAGTGTCACACAAATGACCGTCCTGTTTCTAATAAACTGGCCGCTGAGTGTAATTCCTCACATTCTTTATTTTGCTCATTCAACCGTGAAAAACACAAAGATGTTCAGCAGCAGAAACCGACAGTGAGAAGCTGCAGCTGAGCAACGTTTGGCTTCAAGTGTGTTTCCACCCACCTGCTGTATTTTTAAACCAGCAGAGTAGAAACGTGTGTCAGTAAACGCTGTGTTCGCACCTCTGTCAACACAAACTGTTTCCTCTCTCGCAGCCTATAGAACAGTGTCTGGAGTCAACGGGCCGCTGGTGATTCTGGACCAGGTGAAGGTGAGGACGAGACCAGACCTCAGGTTACATTTCTCAGCTTCTCTCTGACTCACGGCCGAATGTTAAAACACTCAGTTCAAAGTTTATTCTTCCAGGAGTTAGAATGAATTCAGAACAATAACAATAAAGAGCAGATGTTCCACATGTTTTTAAATGCAGCGGGAACAGAACTCCAGATGTTCATGTAGAAAACATTAAGCTGCTTTTCCACAGTATCATTAATGGGGGGGGGGCAGTAGAAGGCAGGGGGGTAACAGATAATTATAATTGATATTTTATTATAATGATAATTGGTTTATATTTAATTCAGTTTTCACCTGACTTTATTATAGAGAGAAACCAACCTGGCGACAGTGGAGGGAAAAACTCCCTTGAATACGAATAGAAATACGTTATTGATTATGAAGAGATAGTGCACTCTGATTGGCCCTGAACAGCACCTGAATATTTATAATAATATTGATCTGTCTCCTGATCGACACGATTCACCACAACTGTCACACAAAGGATCAAAAAAGAAGCTTCTTACAACTCCAGTTGTTGTTCATAAGTATCAGAGGTGATCCAGGTGATCCAGGGGATCCAGGTGATCCAGGTGAGCCAGGTGAGCCAGGTGATCCAGGTGCTCCATCCATTTACTACAGATGTAAACAAAACGGCAGCAGAGTAAATAAACGAAGGCGTAGATGTTTTCAGCTCCATTACTTTGATATTTAACAAAGATTTATCCTCAACAACCTTTGATCAGTTTTCATATATTTACAGTTTAGTTCAAATTAAAGCTTCACTGATGATTATTGATCTCATGATCCAATGTTTTTCTTTTTCTTTTCAGTTTTTTTCTTTTTTTAAATCTCAGACACTTCAGAGTTAAATCCACCTGAGCCTCCTCTCACACTCTGTCCACCTGCACCATCAGCAGTTCCTCTCACTTCAGACTTTACTATATTTAACTGCCTCTGATGTTTGTGCTCCACCAGTTCCCCAGGTACGCCGAGATCGTCCACCTCACGCTGCCCGACGGCACCAAGAGGAGCGGACAGGTGCTGGAGGTCACCGGCTCCAAAGCTGTGGTGCAGGTGTGTGTGTGTGTGTGTGTGTGTGTGTGTGTGAGTGTTTGATACAGTAGAATTAATTTAACATTTATTGTTGTTTTAATTTGTCGTTTAAAACCTATGATAGCCACACTAGCATGAAACTGAAATATCTCAATAACTATTAGATGAATATATAGACATTCATGTTCCCCAGAGGATGAACCACATTGATTTTCAAATGCTTCACTTATCTTGTGAATTATTTCTACACCTACAGGATGGATTGGTACAAACGTTCATGTTCCCCAGAAGATGAATCCCTCTGAGTTTGTTGATCCTCTGGTGCTACACTGAGGTTCACATGTTCTTCAGAGTGAAAGATTCTAACTATTAGACGTATTGGCATAAAATTATATACAGATATTCATGTTCCCCGGAGGATAAATTCTAATGACGTTAATGATCTTCTCACTTTTCCTCTGGTGTGAGCATCAGGTCAAAACTTTTACTTTTCAGTCACATATCTCAACATGGATGGATCTCTACTGGATGAATTTGCACAAAATGTTTCACAGACGTTCGTGGTTTCCAGATGATTAGTTCCTCAGAAGTCGGTGATCAATCTTCAGGCTTCAAACATTAAACAGAACAAATGTACATTGTAAATCACAGAACAGAAAACATGTCACAGAGAGAAAGAGAGAGCGTTTTAATGAAGGATTTCTCCTTTAATCTCCGTCCTTCCTCCTCGTCTTCCCTCCTCCTCCTCGCCGCCCTCTGCAGGTGTTTGAGGGGACTGCAGGTATCGATGCAAAGAAGACCAGCTGTGAGTTCACAGGGGACATCCTGCGGACACCTGTCTCTGAGGACATGTTGGGTACGACACACACAACACAACATGTCCTATTCATTTCAATGAGACTGAGGCGACTGAAGCAGGTGTGTGTGTGTGTGTGTGTGTGTGTGTGTGTGTGTGTTTTCAGGTCGTGTGTTTAATGGATCTGGGAAACCCATCGACAGAGGACCGGCAGTCCTGGCTGAAGACTTCCTGGACATCATGGGTAACACTGACACTGTCCATTTATAACTCAAATGTTCAGTTTACATAAATAATCTACTAGTTCTTTTCTCCATTTATTGATTAACTGTTTTATTTATAGATAGAATATCAGATCAAATGAAACTGTAACAGACAAATTCCTGTAGAATTCCCCAGATGAAGTAAAATGAATTCAGCTCTGAAACTGAACGTTTAATTTATTATCATGAAGAAGAGCATCAAATCATCGTATCTGTCATTTGACATATTGGACCTAAAGAATATTTGACATTTTTACTTAAATTTAATTAAAACAAATGATTAATATTGAATTGAAGCTGGAAACTTCACATCTACAGTGTTGTGAACTGTCTTTATAAAGAACATAATAAAATGATGTGGAGAGACGCAGTGCAGTAAAAATCCAACAGATAAACCAAGACATTTATTTAAATTATCGTGAGAATTTCTTACAACGTGAGATGCTTCAATAGAAATACTGGAACTTCACGTAGCAACACCAAAAATATAAATTTATACAAGTCCGGACATGTGCATTTTACAACATATAAAGACAGGTGGCACATTAAAGGAAGAGAAATATAACAAATACTGATCACTTTCTCCAGGTGGGGGTTTGTTTCTGGCCTCCTACAGGTGGGATTCACCTTCATCCTGTTCAGAAGGTTCTAGTGGAGGTTGAAGAGGTTTTCTGTGAGGCTCTACTCACCTGTTAGGAAGGTCGAACACCTGAGGCAGAATAAGTGTTAGACAGCTTCATCATCAATGAGGGAATATCTTCTGGAGGAATGATGCTCATACACTTCTGACAGGGAGAACTGAAGCCTGTTCTGGAGGCTGGAGGTCACACACACACTTAATGTTGGGGTGTATTTTAGTTTTAATTCTAACATGTTACGTCACGTTACAGGTCAACCCATAAACCCTCAGTGTCGCATTTACCCCGAGGAGATGATCCAGACCGGCATCTCCGCCATCGACGGCATGAACAGCATCGCCAGGGGCCAGAAGATCCCCATCTTCTCTGCTGCAGGGCTGCCACACAATGAGGTACACACACACACACACACACACACACACACACACACACACACACACACACACACACAGGAAGCCTATTAACGACATTTTTCTTTACTTTAGGTTGAAGATGTTTAAATGACTTTGGTCAGATGTTGCCTGATGTTCCTCCTCCCTCCTCCCTCCTCCCTCCTCCTCCCTCCCTTCTCCCTCCTCCCCCCTCCCTCCCTCCTCCCTCCTCCCTCCTCCTCCCTCCTTTCTCTCAACGCTTCCTCCCTCCTCCTCGCTCCCTCCTCTCTCCTTTCTCTCCCCTCCTCCCTCCTCCTCCTCCTCCTCTCTCCTCCTCCTTCCCTCCTCCCTCCTTCCCTCCCCGTCCTCCCCTCCTCCCTCCCTCCCCCTCCTCCTCCTCCCTCCCTCCCTCCCTCCCTCCTGCCCTCCTCCCTCCTCCCTCCTCCCTCCTCTCTCCCTCCTCCTCTCCTCCTCCCTCTCCCTCCTCCCTCCTCTCTCCTCCCTCCTCCCTCCTCCCTCCTCCTCCCTCCCGTCAGATCGCCGCTCAGATCTGTCGGCAGGCCGGTCTGGTGAAGAAGTCCAAGGACGTGATGGACTACAGCGAGGACAACTTCGCCATAGTGTTCGCCGCCATGGGGGTGAGAGGCTCAGATTCTTCTTCCACAGCAGGTTCAGACACTTTTAAACCTGAGAGAGCTGAAAGAGGAAGTTAACACCCCGCATTACCTCGAACGCACCTCCTTCACAAACACAGACTCACACACACGTTGATCCACAGAAACTTGAGTCATCCATTTAAATCCATGAAGTGAAGCGGCTGTGAGCTCCGTCTGAGGTTCTGACCATCGGGAGCTTCTTGAGTTCAGTGTTTTGCCCGAGGACACTTCCACACACGGACAGGAGGAGCTGGGGATCGAACCACCAACCCTGTGGTGACCCCCCTCCGCGTAGCGAGTCACAGCCCCCCCACTGCAAACATCCAGAATCTCTCGCTGTGTAAATATTGTTCCTTTCAAGAGTTTAACTGGACACAAGACGTCTCCTCCTGTCCATTCTCAGTGTTTGTGACCTGGAGTTTCCACATCACACTCTATTCCGGGCCCTGATTGGCTCCAGACGAGTCGTGATGTCATAAACCCCAGCAGGTGTGTTGGGTCACCCAGGTGATTTGTGTTTGTCGCCAGAGGAAGTGACAGTTTCTCTTCATGTCTCTGTCACCAGGTCAACATGGAGACCGCCAGGTTCTTCAAGTCGGACTTCGAGGAGAACGGTTCCATGGACAACGTGTGTTTGTTCCTCAACCTGGCCAACGACCCCACGTACGACCTTTAACGCACACGTACAGCAAACTAAAATTAACTTGTCTTGTTCCTTCTCGTAATTATGTTTTATCCTGAGTTTGGATTGAACAAATTAGCCTTTGGTTAGCCTTCGAGCAAGAACACCCAACTGTGCTAATGATGCTAACAGGAGCGTATGCTAGCCACAGTTATTAAACCAACATGCTCCGAAGTCTCAGCTCCACACACGCCCCTCCTCTTTGACCATTTTTGGATTAGCTGGGAGTTAGGGGGCGGAGTCAGATACTGTGTTTTCACTGCCCTTTATTTTCATGAGTTTTATTAAAATCAGTCATTTAAGTTGTAACATTTTAATTGTCTTTTCTTCCAATTAGGTCATTAACCACGGTTCTGAGATGCTTACATCATGAGTTATGAAGCATTATGTTTTGTAAAACCTCCCGTCTTTCTTGCAGCATCGAGCGAATCATCACGCCTCGTTTAGCTCTGACATCAGCAGAGTATCTGGCCTATCAGTGTGAGAAGCACGTCCTCGTCATCCTCACTGACATGAGCTCCTACGCAGAGGCTCTCCGAGAGGTCACCCGCAATTTCACTGCATTTATTCTGAAATCGCTGCTGGAAATTGGAGATAAATTGTGTGTTTACTCTCCAGCGTGCCACTCAACCGATCTGTGTCTCAGGTGTCTGCAGCCAGGGAGGAGGTGCCGGGCCGACGAGGTTTCCCCGGATACATGTACACGGATCTGGCCACCATCTACGAGAGAGCGGGCAGAGTGGAGGGACGTAACGGCTCCATCACCCAGATCCCCATCCTCACCATGCCCAACGACGGTACACACACCGTCACACACACACACACACACACACACACACACACACACACACTAACACACAGTCACAATGTGGTGGTGTTGTTACAGTGTGTTCTCGTGTCCCTCAGACATCACTCATCCTATTCCTGACCTGACCGGTTACATCACTGAGGGACAGATCTATGTGGACAGACAACTTCACAACAGACAGGTAACGAGGACACGATTCGAGGTTTGTCCTGTAGTTTTTATGACCTTTAAATGTTCAGAGGTCACAGTGACTCAGAGACATGGACTCAAGTCACATGATGTGGACTGGACTCATGGATCTGATGGATTCAGACTCAAAACTGACTTTTTGGTCTCAGCATGGGACCTAGATTGAGACTAGTTAGTCTTGATTTGGGACTTGACATAGAAGTTGATGTTGCTGGGACTTGTTGGTGTTGACCTGGAGCCTGACTTGAAGATTTGGGACTTGACCTGAGACGTGCTGGTCTTGAGACATGGTCCTGACAGCTCTGATTGGACAGCGCCCTCTAGTGGTTTAGGTGTGTGCCAGCCAGACTCTGAGCTCTGTGTATTAAAGTCCCGTCAGGTCTTCTGTCTGTCACTTCTGTTCTTTGAAACCAAACATTATCAACCTCTTTTCTCCCGTCGACGTCAGTAAATGGTTCAGAAAGAAAATCTCCTCCAAACTTGAACTGACATGAAGAATTATAATTTTAACGCTTCAGTGAATTCATCAACGTATATCTGAGGTAGATCTTTAATGTCACACTGTCACCTGAGTAAAATGGGAGAGTCTTTTAATTCAGCAACATGACAGCACCGCTGCTCTGTTGAACAAAGATAAAACAAAACCCACAAAAAACCACAAGTGTTTTGTGGTTTTTTGTCAAATTCTGATCCACTGAGTTTCTTCAGGAGTCAGAACAGGAAGTGCGAGATCAGCTGATGACTCTGTGTTCATGTGTCGTCAGATTTATCCTCCAATCAACGTGCTGCCGTCGCTCTCCCGTCTAATGAAGTCCGCCATCGGGGAGGGGATGACCCGCAGAGACCACTCTGATGTTTCCAACCAGCTCGTACGTCCACACACACACACACACACACACACACACACACACACACACACACACACACACATACACTCCTGTATATATTGCACATACAGGCCTTTTCCCTTTTCCTTCCCACTCTGTCTGTGTGTGTGTGTGTGTGTGTGTGTGTGTGTGTGTGTGTGTGTGTGTGTGTGTGTGTGTGTGTGTGTGTGTGTGTGTGTGTGTGTGTGTGCAGTATGCATGTTACGCCATAGGGAAGGACGTCCAGGCCATGAAGGCGGTGGTGGGGGAGGAGGCTCTGACGGCTGATGATCTGCTCTACCTGGAGTTCCTCACCAAGTTTGAGAAAAACTTCATCTCCCAAGGTGCAGTGGGGCCACGGCAGATCACCCATAGCTACTGATAGAGCCGAAACAACTGGGAGAAAATGAATAATTAATGATTAATAATGCAAATATTTAGATTTTGAAGTCATTTATTAAGCTCAGGGAGTCGTCAAGTCCAGAGTGAACGATCTGTACGTCACATGACACTGTCGGTCTTTAGACCCTCAGTTAGTATATGGAAAACAAGAAGGAACGATAACGATATTATGTTTACATGTTTCATTTCTAAAAGAGAACAGGTCTTAATGAGGATCTAAGGGAAACTAACCCTGATGAATCACTGGATCAATATAAAGCCGATAAAGTTAATTCGGCCACTTTAGTCAAATCCGAAGAGACATGCCTGGGCTTTATTTCAGACTCGCACATAAAGAAGGTGACCAAAACAGCTTAGAAATCACTTAAGAAATATTGACAAGGTCCGGCCGTTCCTTATCCATAAAGATGCTGAAAAACTACTTCATGCTTTTATTTCCAGTAGATTAGATTATTGCACTGCTCTTTCTACTGCTCTTCTTTTTTTAACTCTGTAGCTGTAAGAGATGCTCTGTGAACATTTTTAAACAACAGCTGAAAACCTATTTATTTCACTTGGCTTTTAATGAATTCTCTCATATTTTGCTATTCTTATTCTTATTCTTATTCGTTTTTATTTTTATTTTCATTTACATGTTTTATCATCTACTGTCTCTCTCTATTGTCTAGTTTCATTGCCCTATTTGCCCTTATTTTATTAGATTTTTTATTGTAAAACACTTTGAGCTACAACTGTTGTATGACAGTTGCTTATTATTATTATTATTATTATTATTAATGATGATAATAATAATACCCATGCATGTGTGTTTCCGTGTCCAGGTGCTTATGAAAACAGGAGTGTGTTTGAGACCCTGGACATCGGATGGCAGCTGATGAGGATCTTCCCCAAAGAGATGCTGAAGAGGATTCCTCAGAGCACCTTAGCTGAGTTTTACCCCCGAGAAGCCAAACACTAACCGGACCTGCCCCCGGCCCCCGGCCCCTCGCCGCTTCCATCTGCTTCTGTGAGAACTGCCTTCATACGGTGTAGTGTTGATGCTGTGACCGTCCTGACGCTTGTGACTTTCATGCGGCCTTGACAACAAACCATTGAACAGGAGGAGGAACACACTCCAACACACACAGAGGTTTGTGTTTACAGTCAGTGTAGAGGAAGAGAGTAGTACAGTAACGTGTTAATTATCTGCGTGAGTGATCAGAAGGACATTTAGATTTTTTTGCCACACCTAGAACACGACACGAAGTACAGAAAGAAAATCACATAAATCCCAGACTCTGGTTTTCAGACCTTAATGTGTAATATCTACAAAGAAATCATGAATTACTAATAAAGCATCTGTAATTTAACCTACAGGAGAAGCCACAGTAAAGACTAAACATTCCCTCCTTTTCTCTCTTTCCCTCTCTGGAAGTTCAGCACAAATCTCCCCGTAAAACAGCAAATTGACATTTTTACAGTTTGGTGTTTGCACGGTTGAAATAAACAAGATATCACGTGTTAGTCAGAGATTGTCAGAGGAACTGTATCAATCTGAACATCAAACTCTCAGCAACAAAACCAATAAGAAGATTTCCAAAGATGTCAAATAATTTCTTTAAAGGTACCAGGAGTAACGTTTTTACATGTGAGTCCCTGTTGATGTTGAAATAAAATCTCAAACATTAGTTTTTACAAATGTTTAATAATATTTTTTAGAGCTCAAGGATTCACACAATGAGTTTTGGTGGGAAACAAACTCTTATGTTTAGAAGAGAAGATGGCGTACACCTGTGCATCACTGCAGCCAGGTGGCCTCCATGTTGCTCTTTAATCTGCATATATTTTGATATTTACAGATTATTGTAATTCAGATTTAAAATCTTAATTATAACAGAAATTATAGAGAATATTCTTCTAACCAGTTCAGTATTACCCCTCAGTTATAAGCTAAATTAAATAAACTGTCGGGTTTACCTGTGGAGGAGTCTCACCTGAGTGAATGTGAAGGCGTCATGCTCAATATGCTTCAGCAGGTGTTTCGTTCACGCCGTACGATTGTGACGCCCTGACAGACTGTCATGTAACTGCCGTGAGGTACACGGAGTTGTTTGGAGGAATGTTTCTCGCTTTGATGCGTGTCCTACATGAAAGGCGTGTCTGTATCGGGATATTAGAGTGAGTATTGGGCGTTTAAATGATGCGGATGTGTGTGAGGTTTAAACAAGACGTCCTCTTGATGTTGTCGTGGTTTCTCTGGATGATCGTTGTCGACTCTTTCTCTTTTATTCCGGTGCCAAAAGCTTGAAGCGCTGATTTCTTTGTGTTTCATGTTTTCTGTGTTTGTGTAATCTTTCAGTTCTCGACTGTCTGCTACTCATCAGCCTTGAAATATCTATGAATTATGTATTTCTGTTTGAACAGTGTGTGCATATTGACTGGTTATGATCATCATGCATGCGTTGTCATTGAATGTTTCCTGTTGGTGCCTCAAGTTATCAAGTGAAATAAAAGCTGCCGTCTCATTATCTCTGATCAGTTATTGTGTTTTAACATCGGCACTTAAACTCACATTCATGTTTCAAGCATTGACAGATTATTTATCAGGCGGGATGCACTGAGTATTTATTTATGAGATGCATCATGCATCATTAACAGGCTGAGTGTTACATCAGAAGCTCGTCTCTATCGACCAATAATTCATGAACGTCAGCTAATCAATATTTTGAATGTCAATGAGTCTTTGAACGTCAATGTTGATCCACACTGAAATGTCTCAACAACTACTGGATGGACTGTGATGAAATGTGGTTCAGATGTTCGTGGTCCCTTCAGGATCAATCACAACGACCTCGGTGATCCTCTGGCTTTTTTATCCAGCGCCATCATCAGGTCAAATGCTTCATTTATCTTGTGAGATATTTCTACATCCACTGGATGGATTGGCACAAAATGTGGTAGAAACATTCGTGTTCCCCAGAGGATGAATCCTGCTGACTTTGGTGACCCTCTCGTGCTACACTGAGGTTCTTCAGAGGCAAATATTTTAAAAACTATTGGATGGAAATTTGGTCCAAATATTCATGGTCCCCAGAGGATAAATGTTAATGACATTAATGATCCTTTCACTTTTCCTTTGGTGTGATCATCAGGTCAATTATTCAACGACAGATCTCAACATTTGAGCCTCTCTTCTGATTGGTGTGCGTGGTTTGGGGAGGCGGAAGTGACTGCTTCGTTGTGACATCACAAAGTTCCAGAAGTCCTGACGGCTGGTTTTAAGGCTCAGTTTCTGAATACAGGCTGTGTGCATTTCTCTGTGGACTGAGGCTTTGATACTTTCACAGTATTAATATAGAAGCTAGAGCTGATCTATAATCACACTACACATGGACACAGACCTTTACACTGGAGGAGCTTTAAGGTGTAAATGTGACTATTTATGAGTGACTCCAGAGCAGAGTTCATGTTGGATTGTATTTAGAGTTACAAGGTTTTTAATAATTGAAGTAATATGGATTCCCAGATTCTTAAAACCTGGAGGTGAACAGGTAGTCCCTCAAATTTATTTTCATTTTTTTTTATATCTGTCTTTATGAATTCTAATTAAGTGTGAACATGTGTGAAAATGCAGAGGCCGTGCCGTTGTGGAGATGACCACGGGGAGGCGCTGTTGCCCTGTGAGAGTTCTTTGGTGGCCTGATCCTGCAGTTTCTCTCCTGATGACTTTTATCTCTGTGATCCAATAACAAAATTAAATGTGGGAAAATTTCATCCAACTTTTCAGCGGAGATGACTCGTTTGCGTTTCCGAAATGCCACCAGGTCATGCATGAAAGTTCAACTTAAAGATGAGAGTCAAAGTCGGTTAAGTGCCAGCAGCGTCTGATACAGGCCAGTGTTTTTTTTTGGAGGTTTTTTTCAGAGGAGCTTTATGGAAGATGAAAGCGGCGCTCCAAAGCCAAACACTGGTCAGGGCTCTCTGTGGATGGCTGAGCATGAGCCGCAGAGACACCGAGATAAAGCTGCATCTGAACCGTTTTGATGTGGTTTCTCTCTGTGTTTTTGTTTAACTTGCACAAACCTCGGGTGAATAAAAGTATCCCCCCGAAGACACTGAGAAAACAACAGGACTGCGGTTTAATACAATGGGCTGTGATCTTATAAATGTGCTGTGGTGAGAGCAGGGTGGGGCCATTCAACTTCTCCTCATCCCACAGTTACATTTGATTTCATTCTCATTAAAAGATTAAATATTTACATCAGAAAGATTGTGTGTGTTCTTCAATAAAAGGGCAACAACCGACCAAAAATTTTTAGAGAAAAGAATAGATGTAAATCTGTGTTTGAATGATTGAACATTATATCTCAAAAGAGAGTGTTGTTTTTCACAAGCTCGTATCGTACAACAGTGTCCAATGTGTCATACAGAGTAACATCGACAGCTGTTGGTTTAAAAATGTTTACTGGAATATTCAGTAAAAATCTAACTAAAATCAAACTCCTCCTTTTTTGAATCCTAACTCAAATCTCAGTCAAATCTGAAAACTCAGACACACACACACATTTTAGGGTTAGTGTGACACTGTCAACACTTTCTGAGGATATCATTATCTCTGAAGAGCATCGAGAATAAACATCCATAAATCCGCTTAGAAATCACAGAAAAAAGACGTTTCTTATCGCTGCAGAACTACATTCAGAAACCTGGTGTTTTCAGGTTTCCTCCAGTATCACAGTGATCCAGTGACAGGTGTCTGAACAGGAAGTGGTCACAGCTGATTCAGCTGCTTTTATGAATAAATGGAAACAAATGTGAGCTAAAAAATGAGGCTGAAGTTGTAGCCCACACAACAACATTATACTTATTCTGGATGTTATTTCTCAAAGCATCATGGGAGTTGTAGTTACAAAACTTTGATAAGGTGTGATTATATATGTTTACTTCAAATAGATATAAAAACCATCTCAGTGTAGTTTTACATCTCCTCTCTCAGGCTTCTCTCTGGAGCTCTAGTAACAACAGGTCTGTGAGCCAACCAGAAGAGAGGAGGCTCTGAGCCTCTCTTCCTATTGGCTTTTTTGAGTGATCCAATAAAAATATAGCAGATTTCAGGTAAAAACACTCAGAGAAACAAAATCCTGTAAAGGTTTGGATGGTGGGTCCAGGTGGAGGAGGAGCTTTAACTGTATTTATTTCATGAAGTCTATGTAATCTAAATGTAAACACTTTCTCCATCTCGTTTTACTACAGTGAGAAGAAGAAGAGATACTATTACATCTCATTTTGAACACTCCCAGAACACTGTGTCCTACATTTCCCATGATGCCGGTAGCCAACATATTTTCATTTTAAAAAGCCAAAGTGAAACTGGAACTTCTGTGTTCTGTTCAAATCAAAATCAAACTGACATATTTTAATCTCCATCTTTTGAAAAATTATTTTAAGAAAATTACCTACAATATATAGTCACATGAAAATTAGTGTAAAACAGATGCACTGATGCCACAACACACTTAAACAGACAATCATTTCCTGTCCTCAAGACACAAACTCACTTCATTCTGATATAAAAACCTCATTTTTATCATCAGTGTCTGTGCCAGCTGCTTAAAACTCTTTAGTGGGTTAATTTCTGCTGCGATTTCTCATGAGGGCAAAGAGATTCAGTTTCGACAAAATAATCAAAGCCGGGATTTAAAGGAGGAAATCCAGGCGGTGTGAATTCTGTATGACTGAAGCAGGGATGTACAGATAATTCAGCCGGGGGGTTGGGGGGGTGGACGTCGTCCAAATACAGCTTCTGTTTCTGCCATTCACTTGTGTGTTTGGCAATGCAGGAGACAGAATCTGTCTGTCTGTCTGTCTGTCTGTCTGTCTGTCTGTCTGTCTGTCTGTCTGTCTGTCTGTCTGTTTGTCTGCCTGTCTCTCTGGCTGTCTGTCTGTCTGCCTGCCTGTCTGTCTGTCTGTCTGTCTGTCTGTCTGTTTGTCTGCCTGTCTCTCTGGCTGTCTGGCTGTCTGTCTGTCTGCCTGCCTGCTTGTCTGCCTGTCTGTCTGCCTGCCTGCCTGTCTGTCTGCCTGCCTGTCTGTCTGTCTGCCTGTCTGTCTGTCTGCCTGTCTGTCTGAAGAGGTGAAGTGTCAGTTCAGTCCCAAAAAGTGCTGCATGTAAATCAGTTCTAGCAGGTGAGGAGCACAAACCTTTGGGCTGGCATTTTAAGAGGACAAGTTTTTCATCCCTGAGGTCGGTGCACGTACACACACACACACACACACACACACACACACTTGCACTTCTTGCAACAACATCTTTGTGAGGACACTCGTTAACATAATACATTCCCTAGCCCCTAACCCTGACCTCAACCATCACAACTGAATACCAAGCTCCAACAGTTTTACCCCTCAAACAGACAAACTGTCCCCACTCTGTTGGGAAAACACTTTTTTGGTCACAAACTCATGTCATCAGTCCTTACACCAGGGCTGAACCATGAAGCTGCAGTTCCTCTAATGACCACTAGAGTCTGGCTCCAACAGTGAGTCAGTCCCCATAGACTCCCATGTTAAAATGTCCAACTTTACAGCAGAAATAAACATGTTTACAGCCTGGTACAAAAACTGTTTTGGTCTCTAGAGCTAATTTCCTCCTTCATGACACCTGTTTATAAAACTCACCTGTTTACATTTTATTAAGGACTAAAGTTATGGAGGATTGAGGGCGTGGCCTCTTTGAGTGACAGGTGTCCAGTGAGTGAAATTCTCATATTATTTCATTTATATGTTAGCACTAATTAGCAGGTATCAGTGTTTGTATTTACTACCTGGATTGTTAGCTTCGGTCGTTATCTTGCAAATTAGCCAGAAAATTATTTAGCCTAGGTTAGCCTTTGAGCAACACCCAGCTGTGCTAACAATGCTAACGGGAGCATATGCTAGCCACAGTTATTAAACCAGCATGCACCAAAGTCCCAGCTCCACACACGCCCCTCCTCTTTGACCATTTTTGGATTAGGTGGGGGGTAGGGGCGGAGTCAGACACTGCCAAGATGGCAACGGTAGAGCAGCTCACTCTGAGCTTCAGAAAGCTGTGGATGACGTCACAGAGGCGACGTCCATCTTTATTTGCAGTCTGTGGATTTAATACATACAACACAAACTCCACTTTTACAATATTGTATTTCAGATTTTTATTTAATGATTAATTATTTTCTTTTTAATCTTAAGATACAACAAGCTAACAAACAGATCTCATACCAAAGGAGAGAGTATGGCTCCTTTTTTCCTTGATTCCTCTCCTTATCTTTCTGCTCCTCTCCTCTCCTCTCCCTCTCCTCCCCTCCTCTCCTCTCCTCCTCTCCTCTCCTCTCCTCCCCTCCTCTCCTCTCCTCTTCCTCTCCTCTCCTGCTCCTTCCCCTCTCCTCCGTCTCCTCTTCCTCTCCTCTCCTCTCCTCTCCTCTCCCTCTCCTTCCTCCTCCCCTCCTCTCACTCTCCTCTCCTCCTCCTCTCTCTCCTCT